CCCCCCCCCCCGCCTTACTGTCACATGCTGCTGGGTTCTGTGCTCCCGGAGCACAGCATGTAGAAGCACAAGCCCTGCTGGCCATGCAGCCGTGTCAGTGCTGCTGTTTGGCTGGGCAGGGGCCATGCAGCAGTGTTGGCAATGCTGGTTATTCAAGCAAAGGACAGAGTTCTCATGTGCTTGGTACCCAGGAGAAAACCCAGCCTGAGACAGAGCTGAGCTGTGCCTGACAGTAATGGGAGGAAGCAAGGGGAGCGGGGGCAGAAACTGCAGAGGGCAACTGGAGGTGGGGGCAGGAGGCTGCTATGGGTCCGACTTGAGCTCAGGGCCAGAGTCAGAGCCACAGCAAGCACCTGCCCCCTCCAGCTTTGTACACAAATCTAAAACAAGGGGCTTTTTCCCCCATGCTGGTATGTTGGGGGGACCCTGACCTTAGATCCAAGTAAATATGGTATATATTTGGGTATTTTACAAGGTACAAATCTATGCTGCCTTCTACTTGACTTCAGATTAACATGGCTAACTATGGCTTTGCACAAAATTGTAGAGGTCAAGCCTGCTTTTCCAGGTCCATTTGGCTATGTTATAACACATACATGTTCATGGGCAATGTGCAAGGGGTAAAAGGGGCATGTGTGTCCCCAGATTCCTGTGCTGATGGTGGGGTGCAGAGCTGCAGCTCGACTGGAGCTAAGGCCCAGCAGTAACAGGGATGGTGGTGGCACAATTTCTGCACTAATGGCAGGGTGTGGGGCTACAGCCCAGCTGGTGCCAACACCCAGCAGCAGCAGGGCAGTGGCAATGGCCTGGAGTTGTGCCCCCCACTGTCAACACTTACGTGTTGGCTGTGTACATGTATATGCATACATGTGCACCTTGGCCCTGTTACTTGTATCTTTCTATCTTTGGATTACTGCACATGACATATTTATGGTAAAACCTATAGATATCTGGGAAACAGATCATTGAAATTTAGCCTACCCTTTGCTAAGTATCACTTCTCACAAGCAGCTCATAACCCATAGCCTCTATAGTCTGTGCCAGCTCAATTTCTGCATTCAGTTAAAGATATTGATTGTGCTCTGGAAAGTCATTAATGGTCTGCATCCATCTTAAAGACTTTCTCACTGTGAGGACTGTGAGGTAGAGTAGCAATTGTAGTTGAAAAAGGTCCTTCAGCTGGGAGTCCTCTGGTGTATATGGGAAGGGAGCTGTCAGTATGGTGGATTCACAGAAGTTTAGGGCTGGAAGGAGCCTCACAAGATCATCGGGTCCAGCCCCCCTGCTGTGGGCAGGAAAAACTGCTGGGTGGGGTCAAATAACCCCAGCAAGGCATACATCCAGTCTCCTTTTGAAGATCTCCAGGGTAGGTGGCTGCACCACCCCTGCTGGGAGTCTACTCCAGAGTCTGGTCTTGCTGTCTTGACTGACAGAAGGGACTTGGCTGGGCGACTGTAGGGCTGCAAGCAGCCCCAGGTGCTGCACGAGCTAACGAGCCAAGCCGCCTTAGCTGCAGATGTAACAAACTCTTATCTTGCATTGGCCAGGCACAGCGAGAGGCCTGCAACACCCTCTTTCCAGTTGACTTACTCGGAGGGCATTTTTCCTGAGGGACTTTCTGTTTGGAATTCACCAAACTCAGATTTCGTGATTTCCATCCCTCCACCCCCAGCCATTTCACACACAGACGACTTTTTCGCTCTAGTTTCTGGGGACGGGATAGGCTGAGGCATTCATGATTTGGAGGAGTGGAGAAAGAAATCCTTTCATTTTGATGGGTTGCGGCAGTAATTATTATTATAAATGTCTATCCAATTATGTTCTTTTAATTAAACTATTTCTTCACATGCCAACACCATAGGATCAACACATTAAAGAATGCACAAATAATCAGTGAGGAATGCAAAATAAATCAGTAAAAGGCATGTGACTCCTTTTATACTCTGTGTATTTCTGACTAATTGTGGTTAGTCTAAGTGTGTTCATTCACTGACTACTCATATTTAAATGCTAATGCTATCCTGTCTTTGTTCTCTTTTAAGGTTATGTTGCAATGGGAGCTGTCCTGCCATCCTTCTGGGGACAGCAACCACTCGTTCAACAACAGTTGACCCTAGGTGCTCAGCCTCCAGTTGCTCAGGTGATGCAGGGAGGACAGCCAATAGCCTGGGGCCAACCTGGTATTTTTTCTCCTACCCAGCAACCATGGCCAACCGTAGCTGGTCAGTTCCAGCCAACTGCCTTCATGCCAACACAAACTGTTATGCCTTTACAAGCAGCCATGTTTCAAGGTACCATTGCTCCCATTGCTACTGTTCCACCCACAAGCGATTCCACCAGATCAAGTCCGCAGACAGACAGGCCCAGACAGAAAATGGGAAAAGAAATGTTTAAAGATTTCCAGATGGCTCAGCCTCCTCCAGTGCCATCAAGAAAACCAGATCAGCCTTCCCTCACTTGTACCTCAGAGGCCTTCTCAAGTTATTTTAACAAAGTTGGGATGGCACAGGAAGCAGATGATTGTGATGACTTTGACATCTCTCAGTTAAATTTGACTCCTGTGACTTCTACAACACCATCCACAAACTCACGTAAGTACCTAAGTGCTCTCAACCATAATGGTCCTCAATGTGACTGTCTCCTTTACAGTGTTTTCCTTTCCCCGATGAACTAAATTGGATCACATACATCAAGTTCATATTTTTCTGCACCCAAATCCTCTCAACTATAATGCTTCTCAAATGTAACTGTCTCCTTAGAGCATTTTCTTTTCCTCTGATCTGCTAAATCGGATCACAAATGTAGACTTAGTGTCTTCATGCATGATCAAGCTTTTTAAACACGTCCTGGAATTAAGAGTGATCTAGATTGCAGACAAACTGAAATGTAATTTATACGAAGGAGGTAATATGTCTACTCTTTAAAATAAGCCTATGCTAAGTACATTAGCATTTGAAAAATGCTAAAACCATAGATGAGAAAAATATTTACTCAGCAGTGGTGAGGGAACTAAATACATCCCAGCCAGGCCACCTTTAAGTAGGACCTACAGGATAATAAGACATACCTCTGGCCCTAGTCGTGGGGAGTGCACTTTTTGGTGCACAAATGTGCTTATTCTGTATCAGGGGTAGGCAACATTTTTTGGCAAGAGTGCCAAAAAACCCCACAATGCCTACCTTGGAAGGTGCCAAAGTGCCGGCGTGCCAGAAAAACAAAATGAGGGCAGGGCATGCATGGCAGGATGTCCTGCTTGTGCCCCTTGCCCCCCACCCAAAGCCCCTGCCCCCCAGCTTGGGCTCTGTGGCTGTCAGCAGCTACCCAGAACCTGGGCCAGCTGCAAACATCTGCTGCCTCTCGGCCCCGGCCCCAGCTGCCTCCCAGGCCTGGCCCTAGGCTCCGGGGAAGAGCAGCGTGGGCAGCAGCACAGGGTTGTGCCTCTTGCTGCTGCCCCCGCCTGCGGGGAAGTGTGTCAGGGCAGCAGGGAGCTGGGAGCAGGCAGTTTTCTGCACCCCCTGCTGTGCCCTGCTGTGACGGGTTCCAATGTTGCTCTGCAGAAGTGGCGAGGGCAGCACAGCGGGGAGCATTGCTGGCATGTGCTGCCTCCCCGGAGCCTAAGGCCAGGTCTGGGAGGCGGCTGGGGCTGGGGCTGGGGCTGGGGGGGAGAGGCAGGCAAAGGTTGCAGCCAGGAGGCTACAACCAGCTGCTGCCCTCCTGTCTCAGCCTCGGCCCCGGCTGTCTCCCAGCCTAGGCTCCAGGAAGGCAGCAGGTGCCAGCACTGCACCTGTTGAGGCTGGGGCCAGGGAGGCAGAAGCTGTACCCTGCCAGCTGCAGTCGGCCCTGGCTCTGAGTAGATGCTGGAGCCCGGGCTGCTCCCAGCAGGGCTTGCAGAATCCCAGCTGCCTGCTGAGAGCAGCCCGGGCTCCATGATTAGCAGCAGCTGCAGAGAGCTGGGGCTGGCTGCAGCCAGGAAGTTGCAAACAGCTGCACTGGGCTCAAGAGCCCAGCGATCAGCTCTGTACTGGCACATGCACCCGTGCCTCGGAGCACAGGCAGCACAACCCCCGTCTCTCCCCCACTCCCGGCACGGAGCTGGTGACTGGGCTCCAGATCCTGGCGCAGCTGTTTGTAGCTAGACTGGGCTCTGGGCAGCTGCAGCAAACATTGGGCAGGCTGCATACAGCTGTGCCACGCTCTCCAACATCAGCTCTATGATGGCAGTGACTGTGCGCACACCTCAGGGCAGGCTGCGCTGCCCTGCTGTCTGCCCCGAGGTGTGCACACAGTCACTGCCAGCATGAAGCTGATGCTGGAGCTGTGGAGCCCAGCACAGCTGTTTGCAGCCTGCTTGCTGCAGCTGCCCAGAGCCCAGTCTAGCTACAAACAGCTGCGCCAGGATCTGGAGCCCAGTCACCAGCTCTGTGCCAGGAGTGGGTGAGAGACCGGGGTCGCGCTGCCTCAGGGCCCTTCCCCACTGCTCGCTCCGAGGCACGTGTGCACGTATTGGTACAGAGCTGATGCCTGGGCTCTGAAGCCAGGCAATTATGGAGCCTGGTCTGCTTGCAGCAGGGCTTGCAGCAGCCTCCCAGCCACCTGTTGGGAGCAGCCCGGGCTCTGTCGCTGGCAGCAGCTACCCAGAGCCAGGGCTGGCTATGACATGCTGAGCAAAATAGCCTTGCGTGCCATGCTTGGTGCTCAGGCCGGGGGGTTGCTGACCCCTGTTCTATATGGTCTTGAAAGTTGCTTAATAGATAATATGCTGGAAGCAATGCAAACTTTTGAACCTTGATCAAGCTCCCAAAAAAATCAGTCATCTTTCTGTTGACTTGTGTATGAGCTGGATTGAACCTTTTGAGATTAATGTCTTGTAAATGTATGATTCCCAAAGACTTTACAGGTGGAGTTTTCTTAAGCACTCAGCCCTGTGGCCCTATTTAAGTCAATGATAAAACTATTGACATCTGTAGGTGCAGTGTTAAACCAAGGCTGAGCACCATTTAAAATCCCAGCTATAGGCAATTATTAACTTATACAGTGTGAGATGTTAAATAAAGAACAGAACAGAAACTTGTAACTTCTATTCAAATCAAAGCAAAGTCTAAAAATATTTCTAATGAAGTGGAAGCAAAAAATAAATGCAATTGGTTATGTTTGAGTGATAATAGATTTATAAGGAATCTGTAAAAGATCATGGCCTATGCAACAGCATTGTTTTCTGGATTTATGTAAAGCTGCATCATGAAGATATTTTGGTGGGGTTTGGAATATCAAAATATCATATCAGAATTTCATCATCAGTTTAATCATAAACTCCCTCAAGATCCATCTCAGCTAAAATCAAATATCCTACCTGTGAAGCATGTTTCAAAAAAAGCTACAGGAAGATCGTGTTAAAATTAAATTTGTTTCAAATCACAACATTCAAACACTAGCTGGTGGAATCATCTTAATTCAGGGTGGCTGGATGGAATAAAAATTTGGAGTTGGTGGGGGTTTTTTATTATGATTTTTCAGACTGTGGGCTATTTGATTTTGGGTGCTTAATTTTACAGAATACAGCTTCTCAGAAAATAGCATTTTGGGGCAATGTAAATAGGGATATTAGATATGAGCAGGTTCTGAGTTGCCTGGCTGTCTGAATAAATGTAATCATTGTATTTTCTATTGTTATTGCCATCACCTTTGTTTAGCTCCAACCCCTGCTCCCAGACAGAGTTCTCCATCCAAATCATCAGCATCTCATACCAGTGACCCTACTGCAGATGACCTCTTTGAAGAGGGGTTTGAAAGCCCAAGCAAAAGTGAAGAGCAGGATGCTGTGAGTAGCGATATGACTTTTAATATGAGCTTGACTTTTTTCTAACTAGGAAGTAGAGAGGAATTACTGAAAGTGACTTGGTAATGGCAAACAGTAACTCTTTAGGTTGATTTTTAAAGGGATGCTGCAGAGAATATTAATTACCAAGTAAATGATTTTAACATCTGAAAGGATTAGCATGGAATTTAAATAGATATGCATTCAAATGGGACCATGTGATAAATGTGGGGGTGGGGGGTTAATTTAGCGACCAACAAAATTCCCTAGGCCAATTTGGACTCGTGTTGATGTGTGGGGGAGTCCAAGTCATGCAACATGCTGAGGAAGCAAAAAGAAGCATAAGAGTATGTATGTTGAATAGGGGATGGCTGATTTTGATTTGCAGATTCTAGTATCTCAGCTGCTTTTCTTACTGTGCTCCTCAGCATACCATTTTTCTCCTTTAGACCCCATTACACTTAAAAGTCTCAGTGGGCCAAAGCTAGAAGTATTATCCAACTGGGCACTGTAAGGCACAAGTTGGCCTGGTAAAGCAAATGTGAGTCTAAGTGAATCAACAGAAGTCTTGAGGGAGCCCAAATACTCTGATTTACATGCTGAGGGTATAGAAGAAAAGGCGTAAAATACACCAGCTTGGAATATCTGTGACTCACATAGATTTGCTTGTGAATTTAGTCCAAGGTCTGCTTTCAGGACCTGATTTCTTTTATTCATTATAGTCTGATCCAGTATCCATCAAAGTCAGTAACAGCTCTTCTATCATCTACAGTGGGCCTTAGATTAATCTTTTTATACATGATATACATGTTTGAAATCAATGGGAAATTTAAGGATGTATCAGTTGTAGGATCTCATACTGTGTGTTTAATACCTATAGTAGCTGCACATGGTTGGATGTGCCCATATAATGAAAATAACCTCTTACTGCCTTTTCAATTTTATTGTTGAGAAAAAAAGGTGTTATGTTCTTGTATTCTAGCCTGATGGATCTCAGGCCTCATCCAACAGTGATCCATTTGGTGAGCCCAGTGGTGATACTATAAACCCACAGGTCGGTAGCTAGATAGCGCAGGTTTGGGTAGGTATCTGTCCTTTTTTTTCCTCTCACTGTGTTGAGGTGTTCACTTATTCGTCCACCAATGCCTACCATCACATCCATGGATGCATGGTTTATTTTTCCTTTTCATCTTTTCCTCCCCTTCACCCACAATTTATTCTTTACTTCGAGTGGTTTGCATGGCTTTTTGCCATCTGTTAAGTGTTGCAAAGCGTACAGTTTTTGTGTGTTGCAGATGCCTGCATGCTTTAAACAATGCACTTGTAGATTTGTTTCTCAATAATATTAAAATTGTTGAGGGAAAAAAATAAGGAAAACTCAGAGATGACTGATAAATCATGATTGAATGCATCAGGCAAAAGCTTATATTTAACAAAAATGACTCTGGCATTTGCCTTGGTGCAACATATACTAAGGGGAGGAGACCATCTTGCCCAGTGGAAGGAATTTAAATAAAGACACATGAACACCTTTCCCCACCTCCCAAATCAATATGATAGGTCAATTGGAGAAATATGCCTTTCTCAATATCTGTATATAAAAGAATTGCAGTATTGAATTTGAAATTTGGGGGGGTTTTATCTCTAACATCTAATTAAAGGCACAAGAAAATGATAGTGATTATATATTGACATAGACATACTAATTCTTTTTTTAAAGTTACTATTGCACATAAAACACTTAAATCTAGTCGTATGGAAAGATAATCTTTTCAACTTCCATGCAACAAAACACTGTGTGTATTAATGTGCACTAAGGTGCTTAGATATTTTCCCTCTGTTGTATATATGTTTTGTCAAAGCCCTTGTGAAGCTACAGTGAAAATGAATGTTGAGTATTGTCATTCTGTCCAAATATATTTTACCGTCACAATTTAAAGAATATATTTCATTAGCTGTTCTTTATTGCACTTGTATTTTTGTATTAATCAGATGCATAACTTAATATGGCTTGTTTCTCATCACTGACCTGCTGGGGCAAATTTATAACAAAGGTAGAATAATTTTATTTTGCCTAGGTACTGCACTATATTATATAGCATTGTATCTGTTTTAAGCTTAAATAATTTTATCTCTACTCAAAATTGATAGTTTCGTTAGAGAACAGTTTATTTAATATATTAAAATATGATAAAAGATATTCAGGTAATTTAGCTTCGTTTCATCTTGGGGAAGCATTTCCTAATTCAATGTAAAAAAGAGAATGACCCCAATATTCAGCTGTGGGAGAAGGAAGTAAAGGTACCTTTATCTTTACTTTTTTTCTCAAAGCAGCTCCCTTTTTGCCTTTCCCATCCTGGAAAGAAAGGTATTGAGGTGAAATCAGCCATAGCTCAAGTTAGAGCAGTCACAAGGCTAATTTACACCAGCTAGAACTGCTCTCTTTGGAAATGATGGCTGTTATAGGGGTTAACAGCCCACGTAGTAATTCATTTCTACTTTCTCTTGCTCCTTTCTGTCTCCAGCCACACTGACATTGGAGAACAGAGGTCTTGAGAGAGGCTGGTGCAAATCCATCTGTTTTTCCTTATGCCCCTGCAGAATTCCTCTGTTATTTGGAGGGAGAGAGTCTGGCCATTAATCCAAATTACAAACTCACTTTAAAGCTATGCATGGACGTTTGTTTCTTATTATCTGCTTATTATATAAGTATCATGCTCGCAATAGTTCTCACCTGAATAGTCTCCGCAAGTGAATCATAATGACAGCATCTGCTTTGAATTGTTGACCACCACAAAAATGGCTTGTGTCATCTGGAAGCCAGTATTTCACATACCTTTTGCTTATCAAGACTGGCTGGTTGCTTATAACAACAGTGAAAGTTGAATAATTACATACCGCCCTTAGATTGCAAAGTGCGCATATCAAGATACCCGTGCTTATTTAACACCGTGCAAAATGGTGTGGACAAGGGCTTCTAAGAGCTACCACAATACAAATATTAAATAATAACATATGGTCAGGACATTTATATTGCCTCTTACATTTGAACATGCGGCTGACAACACTCATGTCACTCTGAGCAACATAAAGCATTGTTACTGTTTTTATTAAGTATACTGGTAGTATCTAAGAGCCCAGCCATGGGCCAGGGCCCTGCTGTAGTCATCACTACATAAACATGGAACAGAAAGACAGCTCCTGCCCGACAGGGCTTATTTTCAGTATTTCATTGCATCTCAGCACAGTGCCGTGGTGTGCAGGAAATTCGCCTCCTATAATGAGCCCCCAACTCTAAAGCATTATATAATAAAGAAAGGCAGGGGCAGTCCTTATCCCAGTCTCCACAGAGAATTGTAAATGGGAGACATAAAATAGCATGCCTATTAGGCCCAGCATTTTTTGCTTCATTTTAATTTGTTCTTCTAGAATAGGACTGCCTTCTTCGTAGGAGCTATTTTTGTACGTAAAAGGCAAATTGCAATCGGCTGGCCATTTCAGAGCATAGCTGTTCAGAGCAAGAATTGCACGTTATCCAAGTGGGACGAATGAACTTCCCCAAATCTTGATAATACTACAGCAGACTTCCAGAGTGATTCAATTCCTGATACCTTCATAATCTACTGTTCACATACACTATCTCTGCTTCCTCTATCTCAGGGTATTTAGTATTCTTACCTACCTGCTATTTCTTAATCTGATCTAAGTTTCTACGTTAGCAGTTCAGTTTCTTGGGTCCTTCATTTAGAATAACTTGGCACCTATCGATTGCTATCTCCACATCTATATTTTTCCTCTCATCCTCTTGCAGTCTTAAGAAGTTTGAAAGCTTCAGTTTATCACAACAGCAGCCATTATCACAACTACCCTTTTTAGTAATGACTGTTGAGTGCCTAGTCAGTAAATCTGACATTTATTGATAGGTTAAATCTTTGACCCACTATGATTTGAGTCCAAAATAGATCATTCACAGCTAAAGGAAGTTTGACTCTTTTGCAGAGCTATTTCTGTTAGAATTGCATTCGGTCATTTTCTCTCTTGAGAGAAAGCCAAATGTGCGTAATTATTGCAAAGAAAGAAGAATAATGAATAACAATACCTTCATTAGCTGGTTTTTGATTTTTTGCTTAGGTGGCATAATATTATTGCTTTCTCCAGCATGTGTGAGAGGGTGAAAGGGGAGAAAAAACAAAGATATTTATTTACCTAAGATTTAGGAAAGAAACTACATCTTTTAGTGTCTAGGTTAAGCTTTATTTATTCTAAGTAATAGTAGAAAAGTATTTTTTTAGTCATCTTCCTCCTCAGTACATGTGGTTCCTATTACTATAGATGACAAGGAAGGGACTAACTCTGAGATGTACCAGGTCTCTGCAACTTTCATTGAGATGCCCTCAGTACATCTCAAATTCAGTTCAACATTAGCAGATACTATAATAATATATTAATATAGGGTCGCAAAGCATGAAAAGAAACAATAGATTGTTGTGGAGGTAAAAGGCAGTGGACAGAAGATCAGAAACCTTTATTTTTTTTACATCAGTGGCTGAATATTATTGGCTGACCTTATGTCCTGATTACATAATCATTAGGGCTGTGCAACGCTTTAGTCCCTGATTCAGTTCGGCAGAGATTTGGCCCAATTCAGTGGCCAAATCTCTGAATCCAAACTGAATTAGAGGACCCTTTAATCTCTATGAATCGAATTAGGACCCTCCAAATCAATTCAGAGAGATTTGGAAGTATTTGGAGATTCATACATAGACACAGCTTTAAATGTTTTTTCTACATACCTCTAGGTAGCAGGCATGGCTCGTGAAAGCTGCAGTGCTGGGGCACATGGAGCATCCCACAGGAGCGTGAGGGGGTCCCCAGCATTCTTGGCAGCAGACCTGGAAGTGGACCAGAAGCACTTCCAGTCCACTTCCAGGTCCGCCGGGGAGCACACTGGGGGGCCCTCCTTCACCCCCCAGCTCAGCGACTGGTGCCTCCTGGGTTTGGGG